ATGGTTGAGCAGTAGTCTCAGATGTCGGTTGTCTTTACATTTCTTCACTTTTTTAAATACATATTTGAATGATTTTTTTTTTCTGCCCACAAAAAAAAAAAAAAAATTATGAATACTATAGTGTTTTTGATCCATACTATAGTGAAGTACTTGAATTAATCTGTGATTTATCATTTGTGTGGTATCAATTATAGTAATGTTAACAAATAACCCAACACTGTAGTTTTGTACAGTACTTCTACAATAGGATATATTATGTTAATAAATATTAACATTTAGAAGTTTTACTACTTTTATCACGTATGGCCATGCATCCAAAGCGTTTTACAAACATGAGGGGGGTCTTTTCGACTCTGGTGTGTAGCATCCATGTGGATGATTCGATGGATGGCAGCCACAGGACAGCGGCGCCAGCGCACTTACTACACACCAGCTATTGGTGGAGTGGAGAGACAATGATCCTGCCAATTCAGTGGATGGGGATAATTTGGTAAGGGCCAAATGGAGGGAATTCTTTACTTTTTACAAGAATTGCCATGGGACGTTTAATGACAACAGAGAGTCCTTCACATTATTTTACTTTACAGGGGCATTAGGATTTGGGATTACGGTCCTGCGCTCCCTGCTGGCCTCACTAGCACTACTTCCAACAGCAACCTAGTTTTCTCATGTGGTCTCCCATCCAGGTACTGACCAGGCTCAAGCCTGCTTCAGTGAGTAACCCAGCCCAAGTCCTGACCTCTCCTAATAGGTGAATCTTATCAAACGTTGGTTGGTTTAGAAATGCTATACCACATAAATGCCACCTATATTGAGTATACCACATTAATGCTTATGTTATATTGTTACACAAAAATTAAATTGCTGTACATGTAGCAAATTTAGGCAGCAATACTCCAGTAATGGCAAAATGTATGTGTCCCTCTAGCGGTGACTCACGGTCATGTTCTCTTTAACGTGGCTGCTTTTCACAGTTTGACTCGCACTTTCAGGCAAGCAGATGTCTTTGAGGAATTACACACAAACAACCGACTCAAACAGAGAAATACCTCTCTCACTGCCCTCCCCCTTACAATACGGTTGATGGATTCAGCAGGTAATACACATTTTTCTCACTATATTTTCATTTTAAATACAACAAATTTGCTGCTTTTGAAGATTTATCCCGCTAGCATGTCAGAGGAATTAGTTAGCATTGGATATAAGCTAGCGTTAGGCTAGCAAAATACCAAACAGTTACTAAATTACTGACATCTACATGTTACAATTTAGATTGTCTTATGTTTAGTTAAAAAATAAATGTTAGAGGATAACAATCTTTGTGTGAAGCGGCAGCAAATCGGGTTAGCAGGAGTCCTGTTCATTTAGCCTGGAGTCATCATCTGTTATACATCAACAAATCAAACACGCTTATAAAGCCCTGTTTATGCAAATATGTTGATGCATTTCTCAAACAGATTCGATTTTTTTAAATCAAAAGCAACAACGAACAAAGGTTAATAATGCAGTTTTATTTATTAAACACTTTCATTGTAATCATATGTATCGTGCAGATTTAGTTTAAACTGCAACATTGAGCCAAATTGAAATATAAGTGACATTTTGTGGATCTTAAAAAAGCTCAGAAAAGTAAGATCTCTTTCTCCCTCCAATATTACTTACCATTTAGCAAACTTGACATACATTTTAACTATCCCATGCTTTATGTACCCTCCTGACAGGCTCTTTGATGTCAGTATCCCACAAACTTCCTATTTGAGGTTTTCTTATTTTATTTAAACACTGTAATGGCATGATCTGCTGATTTCTCTCAAGACTGCGCAGACGCACTGGACATTATGCATAATTCATAGCAGCAACATATAAGTTTACAAGCTACTTTTTGAAGAATTGACGTTCCAAGGCCAGTAAACTCATCATGAACAGATATTATTACAGACTTTTTCGCTTTCAGATGAAATGTAGAAGTTATAAAACAGGAAACGCAGCAACATTGTTATCAGTAAATGCAGACGTGTAGAGTCATATTAATTGCATCAGTTCCTTATTACAACAGTTTTTTTTTGTATAGTTTGGGACTTGTGATGTCATTTTAGTTTCTTTTAGATGCCATGTATTCGTGCAAAGGAAAAGATGTAAGAGTTAAGATTTAAGAACTCTGTATTTGTACCTTAAAGCCACTTAATTAGTTATTCTGACAAATTGCCTGCCTCTAAATTATGATTTTTATTTAAAATGTGGAAGAAATTTTATTAGCCCTTTATACAGGGTATCCACAGGCTCTTAAATTGTCTTAAATTTAAAAAAACTAAATTCAGGTAGCTTTATATGGACATAGGAAAATTAAGACCTACAACACCACAATATTTCAGTGAATTTAAGACTTTTTAAGGCCTACAACACAATATTTCAGTGAATTTAAGACTTTTTAAGGCCTACAACACAATATTTCAGTGAATTTAAGACTTTTTAAGGCCTACAACACAATATTTCAGTGAATTTAAGACTTTTTAAGGCCTAAAACACAATATTTCAGTAAATTTAAGCCTTTTAAGGCCTACAACACAATATTTCAGTGAATTCGAGACTTTTTAAGGCCTACAACACACTATTTCAGTGAATTTGAGACTTTTTAAGGCCTAAAACACAATATTTCAGTGAATTTAAGACTTTTTAAGGCCTAAAGTCTTAAACTCACTGAAATATTGTGTTGTATGTATTAATTTTCCTATGTCCATGTAAGTCTACCCAGTCGGGCCAACACCTATCCAATGAAACATCTCAGGAAAAGTTTTAACAAAATGTTATTTATTGACTATTTACCAATATAGCCTGCTTATCTTCCTTACAATAACATTAGTTTTTCGTGTTTTTTAATGTTTCAACTGGGCCATTAGAAACAATTCTTAGCGTTTAGCCTTGTGTTAAATTTCATTTATAATGGTCTTTAAAAAGTCTTAAAAATCTTAAATGTGACATGATGAAACATGTAGAAACCCTGTTTATAGAATAAACTGATGATTAGCATTTTACTTAAACCCATACCATAAATCCTGAAGTGATATTTTCTTTTGTATAAATATGTATAAAGTATGGTGGCCAAGAGAGCTTAACATGCTGAAATTTAAGAAAATAAGTGCAATTACAAAAAACACCAGCAAATTGCGAAAAGATCAGTTTGACAGCACACATGTTGCAAATTCTCACAACGCAAAAAAAAAAAAAAAACCTGCTGCCTTTTTTCTTACAACACAAATAAATGAATAAAACGCTGCATTATATCACAACACTTTTAAATAACATGGAACACAAGGGAAACTATTAAAGGGGACCCTAAAACGTGAAAGACCTGGCTAGAGCTGTGCGATTAATCGATTAATGCTGTTTGTGTGTCATAGCCTACTAGCCAATTGAGTGAGCACGATTGAGTAATGAGTGTATTGATAAAAAGTCAAATGAAATTTCCCGTTGACACTTAATCTTGTAGCAAGCAACAGCAAACTAAATTTCAAAGTTGTTTCAGCCATGTTAGTTTGCTGAGTGTTCTGTATTTTTATAATTACTTACTATTATTTTGTGTTTTTATAAAAAGCTATATAATATGCTATATATTTATATAAGCCATATCTCCCTAATTTCAGTTCAACTTGTTTACAGAAAGGTAAGGTCATTGTATTTGTGTTTACTGTTTGCTTTAGAGAAAAATGAAAATGTCATTTCTGAATATTAAAATTAAAAATTAGTTAAATTAGAAACTAATTTGAATAAATGTTTAAGTAATTAATATCTTTTCAGTTCCTTTTTTAACTAACACTCACTGCATTTTAGCAGTAAGAAGCTACAATACAGAATAGGGCTGTGCAATTAATCAATTTTTTTTTGCGCTAATAATTATGACTTCAACTGATAATCATTTTGAGTTATCATGATTACAATTATGACCAAAATAATCACGATTATGATTTTTCTCATAATCGAGCAGCCCTAATACAGAATACTGAGCTGAGTCTTGACTACAGACTACAGAAATCACAGTATATGTAAAAAAAAAAAAAATCGCAATTATATATTTTCCCCAAATTGCGCAGCCCTAGACCTGGCTATTTAGGTTATGGTTATTCAGGCTAATAAACTACAAACGACAAGGGAAGCAGTATATTAACCTGAACAAACCAAAAACTCACCTTTCAGAGATCACCTACAACTTCACTGAGCAATAGTCACGGCACAGCGGCGTCCGTCACATTTTAGAGTCCATTTGAAACATTTCTGTTGTGTTCTGTTCTTTTTGCAAATGTGAGAAAATTCAGCCCATTAAAATGTTTTTGCATTGTGAAGATTTGCAGCACATATTTGCTGTCAAAGTGATGAGGATAATTTCTCAACTTGCTGTCATTTTTGTAATTGAATGTGTTTTCTTAAATTGCAGCACGTTAAGCTCTCTCGCTCACCATAATAAAGATCCTATCTAAGTTGCAAAAAATAAAACGTTATTCTTAAACATTTATTTAAATAAGAAAATTATTACTCCTGAAACTATTTCAAAATGTTTTAAAATAAACATTAACTGAAATATTATATTAATCATACTTATTTCATCTAGTTGCCCATTGCTCATTTTTATTTACTTTAATGTACTAAACTAACAAAATCTGAAATAAAAAAATTTGAATAAAAAGATATAAATAAAACTAACTAACTAACTAATAGAAATCACAAAAAATACCAAAATACCTTTCTTAACTAAACTAAAAACAATAAACGCAATTTAAAATATTCAAATGTATAAAATAGGATATTAATAAAGCAGCATTTGCTTATTTTGTTTCAATATATTTACTTTTCTGCACAGTTTTCTGTTAACCTTTCCCACGGATGCCTTAGTATTTCCTCACGGCACTTTGGTGTAAACTTTTGCTTCAGAGCAGATGGATGCTTCTAGAAGGTGAGAGGTGCTGCGGTCGTGGGTCTCAGGTGAAAAGCTGCAGGGAGCCAGGAAGATGGAGCAGGCTCATAGTTTACTGCTCAACGAGGAGGCCTGCAGTCAGCTGCCGGAGCACCAGAGGGCTGAGTTCGTCTTCGAGTGGCTGCGCTTCCTCAAGAAACTTCTCCCTGCCACAGACCGGGTGAGTCGAGGCCGCTGACAATAAGCTCTCTGTTTTGGAGTAGGAACACTTCTGTCTGTCTCCCTCTCTTTCTTTCTCTTTCGGACACAAACAGAAGCAAGCCTTTTAGAACAGACTCTCTGATTATTTGTCTGCCTTTCCACCGTCTGTTTCTCAGCCTGCAATGGACTAGCAATGTGTGAGTTTCTTGCTGATGACGTGCTGGGAAACACAATTAACACTACATTTGGCACGCGAGTCAAATTTACTGATTTTTTTTGTTTTCTTTACTATTACAAAAGCCATTAGTAAATGATTCCACATAATCTAGTCAAAAGTGAATTATCCATTCATTTATTTTCTTTTCGGCTTACTGCCTTTATTAATCAGGGGTCGCCACAGCGGAGTGAACCACCAAAAGTGAATTATTAACAAAAAAAAGACTAGGATACAGCAAGTTACACCCAACAAAGTCCATTGAAGCAACGATCTGATTTAACTTCTACCACATCAGCATCTCTATTTAGATGATTTTTTCAACCATTAATTCAATTCACATTTTAATTGGAGGACACTTAGTATAGCCTACTACACTGCAATTAGATAGAACTCGTTGTCTTTAATCCAGGGAATCTCAGACATGTCTTGGATGATGGTTGAATGTCAATTCCTAAACATCTTCCTGTGTATTTTACATTCACTCAATGTAACTAATCAATATAACCTTTCTCCCTTCTATTATTTATTACTCAAGTTGAGGGGTTCATAGTTCTTTAACTCCTTCCCTGGTCATATCAGCCCTTGACATCCAAAGTATTTTTTGTTTCTACTATGAAAATCAGTGGCTGAATTTTTTTTTTCTTCCCCAACATTCTTCAGTATATCTTCCTTTGTGATGAACAGAAGAAAGAAACTCAAACAGGTTTGGAACAATTTGGGAAATAGTTCATTTTGGGTGAACTATCTCTTTAAACTGACTAGAAGTATGCATGTAAATCAGATGTTTTATAAAATAAAGGTTAGACCGTGAGCTTTGACTCGTGCTGTGTTCTTACATTTTTTTTTCTCTCTTTTAAATGTTTACATTGCCGATAGTGAAAAATAAAAGCACACCTCTTAACAAAACAATATGTTGTGTTGGTTTTTGTGTGGCAGGCTGATGTAAAACAGAAACAGAAGCGTCTGGTGGAGCAGCTGACGACAGTACTGACGAGTTCTCCGGGTCCCCCGACGCGTCTGCTGCTGGCACAGTGCCTAGCGCTAGTGTATCGAGTGGGCGACTCCCTCACGTCCAGCCTCACTGTGGACCGCTGTAATGATATCATCCGCAGCAAGGATGACTCTCCCAGCTTCCTGCCTACCCGACTGTGAGTGTCATAAATCTGTGGCCTACATGCACGCATCACGCACACCCACCGCCTGCACTGCAGATGGGCTTCAGCTTGATCCTCTGCCACTGACTTTACTTATTGCTCCCTACAGGGCAGCTGTGGCGTGTTTGGGTGCGCTGTATGAGCAGCTGGGCCGACTGCTCATCAACTCATTTAAAGAGACCACAACAAACCTTCTGAAAGCTATGAGGAGTGCAGAGGTAAGTGTGGCCTTGCAACAGTATGTCATTTCAAAAACATAAAGATGTGACTGTACGCGATTGTGGAAAATCATGTTTTTGTTTGTTTTGATGACCAAACTTGGTGTTTTAAAGTCATCACATAAACCATTTTATCATTTTGCTCTTGAACGACTCATGATTTACTGATCAAAACTTTGTGGACAGAATTAATTCACCATCATGAAGGTAAATCAAAATATTATATGATAAAATAAATGAATAAAGTTAGCCTGTCTCTAACATAAAATTTCCAAAAGCAAACTTCAACACAGTCATATCTCAATGTACTATTTTTTATTTATTTATTTATTTATTTTTGCTTATTGAAGAACATGTTTTACTCTGTATGTCCCAATAAATAAAAGTACAACCAGTCCCAGTACAATAAAAATTTTGGGTGAACAGTATTTTTTTTTTTTTTTTTTTTTTTGGTGTATGTAAAGTTTTATCTTTCAGAAAGTTTGATATTTAAACATCTCATCTTGAATTAAACCACATTTGAACTTAAAGTAAACACAAGTTTCTGTGATTGATGTGATCTGGGATGCCTGTTCTTATAGAGAAAATTGGATGCAAATAATATTTTTATATTGCAGAAAATATATATTTTTGTTATTTTTTTTTTTAAATCTGTGTAATGTTTGTGTGTTGATGTGTCCAGTCTCAGGGTCGCTGTGAGATCATGCTGTGCGTTGAGAGGATTCTGAGGGGTTTAGGTGTAAGTGCTGTATCCTGTCACAGAGACATCTATAAAGCTGCTCGCACTGGTCTCACTGATCGCTCCATGGCTGTGCGCTGTGCTGCTGCAAAGGTACAAAAAAAAACTCAACCACATGCCTCAGTTGCTGATCATTAGTCTGCTTCACAAAGCATATATTGCTTATGGACGGGCAAGGGTTTGCATTCATAGATTACTGAAGGAAAATATGTTTTTTTTCTTTTGTGGAATCTTAAAGAGATCAGTTCACAACAAATTGATTGCACCATGTCATTTTATCCAGATTTATTCTACTAGAATGCTAATGAAGATTTTTTTTTATCAAAATTGAAAGATTTTTTCCTCTCCGTTTAAAATTGTTTTCACCTTCAAAAAGTTTGTAAAGCATTCAAATAAAAAATTTGTCAATCAAGCAATTTAATCCAGAAAGACTTACCAATTTCTTGATATGATAAACAATTTAAACTTTTATTCCCATCTAAAAACACTAAAATATGAAGATTTCTTAAGGCTTGTAAAATAATGAGTATTTAACTACAGTGGTTTGAACTGTAGTTTTGTCTAATGACTTAAAAGTTATCAGTATGATGGTGAAAACTGCATTTCTAGTCAAACCATCCTTCTGCAATCTTATACCAGTGGAAATGAGGGTAGCATTAATAGCTAAAAATGTGGGAGAGCGTTGCTATTAAGTGATAGTATTGTGTTGCAATATGGAGCAATTAAGTGTTGATGCTAAATCAAACGTAATTCACAAATACTTGAAAATGAATTGATTTAATGACAATAACTTGCGATGGTTACAACTGAATTAGTTACAACCTAACTCTATAAAATGATTAAACATGAAAGGATAAAAACGTGACATAAATTGTACCTATCTTTAATGTAAAATAAAGTTACCTGAGAGGGAGAGACAGTGGGGGAGAGAGAGAGAGACAAAAAAGTAGGCCCTGAAGATAGCTTGATAGCAGTAGATTTAGAGAAGAGAACTGCAGAGCAGGAAAAGCACAGAGCAGAAAAAGAGGCCAGAGCAAAGTTTACCATCTATTTAGTATTTTTCTTTGACCATGTGACCAAAGCCGAAATGTTGAGACGTACAATCTGACCAATCAACATGTGACCACATCCTAAGACCCTCAAAATCCACAAATTAACCAGGCCCTGATCTTATCAGTATCTGTCTTTGGATTCTGTACTGTCTTTCTTGGTGAGAAAGATATGTTTTGCCACATAAATAAATGCATATGATAATTTGGCTTCCTACACTAAACCACTAATTTCATTTGGATTTTTAAATCATTGAATAATAATAATAAGAATTTTGAGTAAACAGAATTTCAACGGAGGGACCAAAATCTCACAGATTTCATTTTAAAAAAATCGTTTACTTAAAAAGCACCTGAAAATCAAGTTATTGAGCATATATTGCAGACTGTTACTTGTGAAAGTTTGAATGCTTTTGTCTGTTCCAAGTAAAAGTTAATTTTTTTATTTTATTTAACTATTATTTTTACTTTTGGTAGTGTCTTTTGGAGCTCCAGCGAGAGGCTGTCTTCCTGTGGTCCACAGAGCTGGAGAATGTGGCCACTCTTTGTTTCCGAGCGCTTGAGGGCTCAAACTACGATGTCCGAGTCAGCATCTCAAAGCTGCTTGGCACTTTATTAGCATCAGCACTGGAGCCCAGACAGGCTATAGGTGGGTGGATTTCATTCAGCAGCATCCTCGGAGGACATTGATCATCTTGTCATGAAGATCATAAAAAATCCAAACCTTCCCTCCTCTCCTCTGTTTCCCACATGCCGCTTTTCTTTTTTGCAAATGTAACGCTCATCTTTCTCTCCCACTCCATTCCATCTGTTCTATCATTTATCCCCTTGCGCTGTCTCACTTTCTCTTATACTTCTCTTCTTTTCATTCTTCCTCCCCTGTTCCTCAGCTCCGAGGCCGGGCTCCAAGCGCAGCTCCCTGGAGGAGGTGATGGAGCTTCTGAGCTCTGGTTTCCTGCGGGGTGGAGCTGGCTTCCTGCGGGCCAGTGGAGACATGCTGAAAGGGACCAGCTCAGTCAGCAGAGATGTGCGCGTGGGCATCACACAGGTCGCTCATCCTCTGTTTGTGCCACTGTTTTGATTTATGTCTTGGGTAAAAATGGGAACCGATGAATGTTATATAACACAAAAAATAAATAAATTCTTTATTCATGTACAGAATTTTCCCAAAAATTGACAAATCTGTTATAAAATTTTACATTGAAAAAATTAAATACCACTTAAAAAATGTAGTTTCTTTGGATTTAATTAGACATGTAACGATTCGCAGAGAGCCGCGTGAAAATTGATTCAAATATTTGACTATTCAAATGATTAGAAATGTTGAATGAATCGTGATACATTTTTTGAACAGAGGGGGCACTGTGTTTACAGATGCAAGCTGGCTTTGCAAGCCTCTCCACCTCTTGCTCTACGCCAATGAGTAGGTAGAGTAGAATGACAGTTGTGAAGTGCGCCAAAAAACACCATCTGTGCAAATACTGCGAAAAGACGTTTACTTGCTTTTTAAACAACAACGAATATAAAGCACATAAACCGCCAGCACAGTGAAAAACTACTGCAAAAAAACTATTATTAAGCCAAACCATGCTCTAACAAGTGCTACAAAGATAACACAGTGCATCAGTGTTTTTATAATGAAAGTGTGAAGATGTTTTTCAGACTGAGACAGTTATTCTGTTTTAGAACCATGTATTAGATTATTTGACCCTCTCCTTTTCATATTGGTTTATACCAATTTTATTCATTTGCTTATTATTATTTACTATTTAAAAATGTTCAAGATTATCTCTTCTTAAGTGTATCACACTGATATTTATACTAATTAATTATATAGGTAATGTTAATTATTCACCTTCATAATTAAGTTCATCTCCTGTCTCTATCCTACTGTATAATTAGTAATTTTATAATCAGTTTTTATGCCAATGGCCAGTCCCCCTGGTGCAGAGGGCCTATTGACCATCTCTGCACACACTGCTCTCTGGTTTAGGAAAGGCTTACCTCTCCACACCAGCCATCTCAGTCCTCAGTGGAAGAGATTTTTCAGCTGGGGCGGTTGTAAATGTGCAAAGACTTCAGCTTATGCCAGAAAACATAGATATTCTCATATTTCTTAAAATATGTCAAACCCCAGCACAGTCACAGTTTTAGTTTGTTTATATTAATTAGTCTTCTTTAGTTTGTATTCTTTTTTTTTTATAGTATCGTGAATCGTATCAAATCGTGAGTCGGGTGAATCGTTACATTCCTACATTTAATAGGCATGCTTTTCAGTAAAATTTTAACATTTGTTTTGTTTTTTCTCCGTATTTTAAATAAAATATTAATTAATTTTTTTAATTCTTTAAGAAATGGAGAAATATTTAAATATTTTGCTTAGCTGAGGTTAAAGCATTGGTATTGTTTCATTTAAAATGACCATTAGCATATCTAACAACATGCCACTTTTTTGTTGTTTTAAGCTATTTCCATTTTATGCTCTTAATGACATGATTTGAGAAAATGTCATCAGTGGTCAACAGAAACAACAATTTTTTTCCTCTAATGCATAACTTTTAGAAATATGCATACGTACAATGCACTTTTTAAAACTAGAATTATACAGTAGCTGAAAGAAAGCAGCAGTTAAGAAAGAGTTGATCACATTAATACAAATAAATCTGTTTAATGGCCTATATGCACAGCTAGTGTTTTTTAGCCAATTATGAACTTTTGGTGCAAGATTTATGCGACTACTTTCAATTTTATAAGATTTCTGTTCCAGCATCAATGTTGTAATGTAATTACAACGCCGTCATTAGCAGCATACTGGGGTACAATTAATTTCCTTATTTTAAAGACGCCTCGGGCAAATGGAATTCAATGCAGTGCATCTTGTTTGGTCTGATACACACTTTATATCGTATCTCATTCAGGCAGTGATGATTGCAGTTTTTTGTTTTTTTTTAAGAAATCAGATCTTAACAGCAGCGATATTTAATAATTTTTTTTGGGATGACAATTCACTGGAAGCCCTGGGGCTGGCTGACTGAAAATAAAAGTATCTGCGAATTTACCGCATTCAGCAATTAAGTCTTGTTTATTTTCACAGAACTTTCTCATCAAAAAATATCAGCATTGCTTTTAATTATAACTGTATAGCATGACTGGTTCTTCTACAATGAAGTATTTTTTTATATTTACTTTTTTTTTTTTTGCTGTTATTTTATTTAAAAATACATTTTGTATTAATCCTTTTGGTCTATGATATTAACCTGAATGCCATCGACTTTCTTTTAAACAGACATGTGTGGTGTTTGTGTCTATTCTGGGTGGTGTGTGGCTGGAGACGCACTTCTCCAGACTTCTTTCTCTCCTCATGGAGTGGGCATCTCACACGCGGGCCACACAATACCCAGCAGATGCTGTGTCTTGCCGCTGCTGTGTCTCCTTCATATTGCGGGCCACTCTTGGCACTCTGCTAGGGGAAAAGGCCCAAATTGCCGCTGCCAAGGAGATCTGTCAAGTGATCAGCAAACAGAAGAGGGTTGTGGGTAAGAAACTAGGCCAATATTTAGGTCTCCTTGGGTTGGATATTGAGTCTGGTGTATTAAATGTGTCCCATGTTTCTGTCAGATGCATCTCTTCATGAAGGAAACATGGAAACGCGTGTGAGCCCTGCGGATGTTGCAGCCAGTCAGCATGTGTTGGTGTGTGCCCTGCTGGAGCTGGGCAGTTTGGTACAGGACCTGAGCTCTACTGCTGCTCCATTGTTGCAGGACACTGGAATAGGTTTGTTATGCACTATTGGTCAACAAATAATTTGACCACCCCTTTAAACCTTTTTAAGGCATGTTTAGATGCTGTATGGAGAGTTGCATATATTTACCCCCCTGCATTAAAAAAAAAAGAAAAAGGAAAATACATGGCAAGTAAAATAATGGTTAAAAAATGTGTATTTATTTAACTATTGTATTATTTTACCCTTAAAAGGTTGGGAGTTAATGTAAATAAAAATTTACATAAATGAAAAAGTTAAATAGCTTATTTAGTAAACATTCCACTGACTTAAAATTACCTTAAAAATCTCTAATTTTTTCAAATTATTAAATTGTAGAATTATAATTGTAAAGTTAAATTATAGGTTTCAGTTTCAAATAAAAGCTGTTCTTTAAACCAACTGCTCACCAATGAATGCTGAAAACTATATATTTCCACACATTAACCATAAACATTTCCACATTTTGTTGACTCAACATATTTAAACATTTTTTTACATTGTGACACTGAAAGGTGGAACAATTACATTCATTAAATAACAATTTCAGCTTTCCCGACACTGAAATGAATTGCATTTTAAAATATATTAAAATACTAGTTTTTTTCAATTATTATCATTTAGAAGAGTATTTTCGATAACAGGTGACGCAGTGGCGCAGTAGGTAGTGCTGTCGCCTCACAGCAAGAAGGTCACTGGTTCGAGCCTCGGCTGGGTCAGGTGGTGTTTCTTTGTGGAGTTTGCATGTTCTCCCTGCGTTCGCGTGGGTTTCCTCCGGGTGCTCCGGTTTCCCCCACTGTCCAAACACATACAGTACAGATTAATTGGGTTGGCCAAATTGTCTGTAGTTTATGAGTGTGAATGATAGTGTGTGTGGGTGTTTCCCAGAGATGGGTTGGAATGAGTTGGAATGGCATCTGCTGCTTAAAAATGTGCTGAATAAGTTGGCAGTTCATTCCACTGTGGCGACCCCAGATTAATAAAGGGACTAAGCCGTATTTGTATGGGATAGGATGAATAGGATATTGTAAGTAAAATAAATTGTAAATCAAATAAAATCTAGAAAATAAAAGGCCTTAAAAGATAAATATAAATCTTATATTCATTGTAGTCCACAAGTATTGGCCAATAGGTTTATCAACAGCTGTAATTGTTTTCTCACTTTAGCTGGTATGGACAACAACCTATTTCTAACGCTTTGACTGTCTTTTAAAACATGTTTTAATAGATGTGTCATACTATAGCCTGGATGAAGGAAGATATCTCAAATAGGTGCAGATATTACACATCCATTCAGCTTCAGAATCATCCCAGGAAGAGCTCAGATTGGCATATGTGATTGTGATGACTGATTTCAATTGCTTTTTTTTTTTTCCTGCTAGGAATGTTGGACACCGTGATCTCTGTTCTTCTTCACCCCAGTGCATCTGCTCGTCTGGCCTCCGCCTGGTGCCTACGGTGTATTGCCGTAGGGATGCCAGCTCAGGTGGCGGTGTTGCTAGACCGCTGTGTAGAGAGGCTCAATGCCCTGAAGTCATGCCCAGAGGCCGTGGCAGGATACAGTGCTGCCATCGCTGCTCTGCTGGGGGCCGTACAGCTCTCTCCGCTGGGAATATCACATTCAAAGGGCAAGGTATGTGTTCTTTGCCTAATCTTAAAACAAACAAAGAGTTTGTTCATGCTTTTTTAAATACGTTCACAGTCTGTGTCCTATGCTCAAGACTTGTTCACACAGAAAGTGTTCAGCTGATTCTATTTTACTGGAGGTGTTTTTGTGCAACTGCAATTTCCAATCAGACTCAGTAGCACTGTATGGACTCCCATTAGTAGCTTTCATACTAATTTCTTGTTCGTAAAAGTTGAGCTTGTGAAATACTGTCTAAACATTGAGAAATTAAAACTAAATTAGTTAAGTTTATTGCATCTCATAAAAAATTAACCCTTAAAGGCAAATTTTATCCCTCCACAAACTTAAATTCCTTTATTTTATAGTTGACTTTATTAAAAATATTTTGGACCATTGTGGTAAAAAAAATATTTAGCTGACCGTTTTTCTTATCAGTCACACATAAGTAGTGAATTATGAAAATGTTTTTAGTTTTTTTTTTTTTTTTTGGACTGATCTATCTCTCTCCTTGGAATTCAAAAGAAAAAAAAAACAATGCACCAGTCACTTTGGGCACATGTAAATGTTGTTAGCATCATTCCAGGCATATTTCACATACATAATCAAAACTGATGCATCACTGCTTCCTCTTGGACTGGTTTCAGATGGTGATGACTTTGGCTGAAGATCTGCTGAGATCTGCAGCTCAGAACAGCAGAATCTCCATTCAGCGCACTCAAGGAGGCTGGTTGCTGCTCAGTGCCCTCTCAACACTAGGTATGAGTTTGTGTGCTAGGGGTGGAACAGTGCTCTGGGAAAAAAAAAAAAACAATCCGTTCTGTTATCCTGCTCTCTGACTGTAATATGTTTATATCCCGCACTATTGATGCTTGTTAGCTGCCACGCTCTTTCATGTCTGTGCCTTTAGTCGCTTAATCACTGCAGTTGAAGCAGGTTGTTATGGTGTGTTCTGGCCCAGTGGCATCTGTTCTGTCACATCACGGTTTAACTTTGTTCCTTTATTCAGAGTTTACAGTAACTGTTTAACTCTAAATGTTGCAAACTCATATGACTCAAGTTTTATCATTCTAAAGATCTGTGTTTCTGTCTTTCTCTCTCAGCTACATTTTTTATTACAATTAATCAATAACATAGGACAAAAACAACAAAAGGCAAAATTGTGTGAGTAAGATGGAAATAAAAACTCTAATGCTAAAATTGGATTTAAGAATGATGACATTTACATTGCAATAGGTATTTGTTTGTGTGTGCAGTGTATGCCAAACCAAACTACAAAGCGTACCAGCAGTTTTTGCGAATTGTTCCACCCCTACTGCCTACACATGATCTTCAGTAAACACAAGATGTGTCTATACTGTAGCTTCAAGGAGTTAGTTTCCTGCTTATAGTCCCTTTATTTTGTTATTTTTTTATATTTTATTCAAGGTCCCACTGTAATGGAGCATCACTTGCCTCGATTGCTGTTACTGTGGAAATGTGCCTTCCCGCTGTCTGTAAAGGATGTGGAGATGGAGCTGCGGCGTGGAGACTCTTTCACCTGGCAGGTGACCCTGGAGGGTCGGGCAGGAGCACTGTGTGGTGAGGGTCTCTCAATTATTTTAAGGGAAAATAAGATTTTTTTCATGCACCATACAATCTGTTGATATTTTTTCTTGACATCACAGTAATAATGAAGATTGTTCGCTATTGATTACACATATTTAGGAATAAATATTCGCCATGATTTTTGATCCTCATAGCTTGTGGTCTTCCCTGTAGCAATGAAGAGTCTGGTGGTTCATTGTAAAGAGCTTCTCACTGATGATGTCATCTGTCGCTTTGTTCCTCTCCTGTCCTGTGCGGTGGCCCTACTAACTCAGTAAGTGGATTTTGGTTGCTTAAAATAATAATCAACACCATGAAGTTGGACCTGTTTAAAATGTGGCAAAATAAAATCATAATGTTGACAGATAAATATTTGTGACATTTTTGTCTTTGTCCTCTCTTTATAGGCTGCCGTCTATTATTAAATCTTATGGAAATCAGATAAAAAATGCAGCAACAGTCTTTAAATTAAGATTGTATGAGATCCTCAAGTTGCTTCAACCTAAAATCTATGAAGGTAAGCAGATTTTATAATTCTAAACTTGACTGAACTAAATCGGGCAAGTTCATGACCCATGTCTCTCTGTCTAAAAGAAGCCATTTCTTGCTTTTCACACAGTAAAATTGGAGCTCAAATTGCCACAAATTAATTTATTAAAGGGATAGTTCACCTAAAAATTTTAATTATGTCATCATTTACTTACCCTTTACTTGTTCAAAACTTATTTGAGTTTATCTCTTCTGTTTAGCACAACATAAGATATTTAAAAAATGCTGGTTGCTGCCCATTGACTTCTGTAGTATTTTTATTTTTACTTTGGATGTCAATAGGTACCAGAAATCATTATTTTTCAAAATAATAAAGGTTTATAATAAATAATAATAAATAACTCATAAAGGTTTAAAATTACATGAGAGAGAGACTGATAGGAGAATGAACTAACCCTTAAGTATAAAAATTTGTGTTTTGTTACCACAAAATATAATGGTTCCCAATCAGAGGGTAACAACAAACAAAAACATTCAAAACATGAGGACTGAAATAGTTTTTCTTCTTTCTCCTGGTTTAATATGGCAGCACTCAAAAATCTGTTAACAAAAGTAATTAAATAGTTACAGCAGAAATCTTTGAGAAATAAATATCTTTTAACTATTTTGTTGGACAGTAAAGGGCTTGAGGTCAGTGAGGGTTTGGCAGTACATTTTCTCTGACATATGAGTGTTCTTTACCCTGCTGCTCTGATACTGTCATTTTAATCATGCTTTAGATTTTTAGAGAGCTGTTTAGGATTCTCATTTTTTTTATATCTTGAAATCTCATATAGAAAATGAACATTTTGATTGGCCAAATATGTATGTATTTGTTTATTGTGTTTTGATTGTGTTGGCTCAGAGAGTTTTGGCACAGTTCTAAAGCAGCTGCTGAATGATCTGACCGGGCCAGAAATCACAGCATGTGCTGAGCGGAACCTGCTGCCCTCCCTGTGCTACAGCCAAGACCTTGCTCTGCTGGGTCCCGGACTGCAGGATATGGATCAGCGCTATATAGAAGAGCAGGTCAGGCAGCAGTCTAATCATCAGGAAAATAGCCTTGTTAATGTGTAGTCAGTGTCATTGATCCATGTCCTATTCAGTACGACTTTCGTATTTAATCTCACTGTATTTTCTGTCTGTGTGAAGCTGCATGGAGGTGGTTCAGGAGGTGGGACACTAGAATATGACTCATTTACCATCTTTGAGAAATCTCAGGAGGTTCCTACTCCGCTCCCTCCAGCCTCAGCTCTAACAGTGGCTGCTGTCCAGCTGTTTGGAGTGATTTTTCCCCACCTGAGTGTCCAGCAGAGGTATTTCCTTCATCAGCACAGTGAGATCTGTTTAAAAGTTTAGTTGACACAAAATTGAAGTTTTGGTCATTAATTTCTAACTAACTAAGCTTTCATTAATCTCCACTGTCGAAAATAAGATATATTGCATGAAATCCAAGAGATCCTTCATCCTCCATAGGCCACAATGGTCCTGACTCGTGCGGAAGAAACAGCTAAATAAAGTCGCGTTTTTAGTTTTATGTGTTTACAAAAATATTCTCGTAACTTGATAACATTTCAATTATACCACTGCAGGCTTGTGGTCTGTTTTGAGGTTGTTTTTTGGACTTTGAGCATGTAAGGTCAGTTGCTTTCTATAGAGAAGTTTTCAGATTTCACCACAAATGCCATGATCTGTTTTTCAAAGCCCAACATAGGACTCAGAGGTTTGGAATAACATAATGATGTGTAATTAATTGCACAATATTAATTTTTAGGTGAACTAATCCTAGTGTGGTGTGGTTATTTATTTGTATGATGACACTCTTAGTAAGAGGCCTTTTAGTTGAGTTCGTTTGAGAGAATCTTGATGTTGCTAAATACTTGTAGGTTCGTTTAGGGACTTTATTTAGGACCTTTATGCTAGCAGTACACCTTTACTTTCACATATAAGTTAACCAGTAACACTTGTAAATAATGAAACTTAAGACTTGCCAGTTAAATTGGGTATCTGGGAAATGTTTTGTTTTCCAAGTGATGCATCCCACTTTGTAAATTATGTATGCAGTTTGTTTGTTTTATGATACAGTCACTGGAATGTTGGATATACTAATGTTAACCAACATTAGTGTTTAAAGTTATTCAGATTGTTGGAAGTAGCTGATATTGTTACTGATAGTGAATCCTTTTGGGAACTGACCCTAATGAGAGCCAGAGGCTTTTGAAGTGCTTTCTTATGCAGCATAGCCAAATTTACATCCAGACATCTGCATGCATTTGCATAATTGGGGGCTGCTCTTGCCATGTCACATGCATTATTAAACACCAGTGGAAAGGGAAATGATACTGATCATATGGGGCCATCGCCCTTCAGTGCATCTTTTTTCCTGCTAACAGCTTGTCTAAAGGATTTTTTTAAAAGTTGGAAAACATAACAACAGATGAATTGTCGCCTTTTACAGTTGTTTTCTAGGGTTTTTTGTATATATGTATTAATATATGTATTTTATATTTAATATATGTAATATGTCAAATTCATAGTGACAATATTGTCAAATAGATATATTTTAAAGTAGTCATGCATTTTCTGTGTTCTATCTTATTTTAAGGGCTCAGGTCCTGGAGCAGTTTTGTGAATTTGTGCGACAGCTTAAAGGAGCTCGGCAGCAAACAGTCCAAATACACGTAACTGCTGCTTTCTTTTGCACTTTGAAGGTATGAAGCATTTTAACCATTTTAGGCATCTTTAACCAGTGCATTCATGCCATATAAAGCCTCTTTGTTTCTCTTTCCCGTTCTTCCTGTTGTGCTTTGTAGAGTTTGGCATCAAGTCGGAGCGAATTGGGGCCAGAGGAGGTCCAAAGACCAGCATTGTCTCTCCTGTTGGGGGCGTTGGAGGGCTCAAACCCTCTACTGCGCTGCATGGCTGCAGAGGGTTTAGCAAGGCTGGTGCAAGTTCTTAATGACCCCGGCTTCACAGTTTCCCTCACTCTCATGAGCTTTGACAAGTGAGTGGATTACAAAATCACTTTATTAAACAAACACTTAATATGGATCATCTGAACTGAATGTAAATGTATTCCAGACTGAAGACAGCAAGGGATGCCATCACACGCACAGGCCATGCCTTGGCCCTCGGAACGGTTTACCGTTATCTTGGTGGGATTAGCTCCCCTCAGTACCTCAGTGCCTGTGTTGGGGTTCTTTTTACCCTGTCCCAGGATAATACCTCACCAGAAGTAAAGGTACTTATATTATATATATATATATACACAGGAAATCTAATCATCCATATGTTAAAAACATAAACATGCTAGTGCTTTGTTGTAAACAACACAGACCTGTCGCATTGTAATATCAACTTTTTATAAGTGCAACTACATGTTTACAGTGCTCAGCACAATTGAGTATACCCCATTTTGAAAATGAATATGTTTATCCAATTCTCAGTGAATATAAGCAATGTATTTTGTTGCATTTAAACAAAACCAATTTATTAAACAGATATATTTATTAAAATAATATTTTAGTCACCAAACATATTTAGAAATTGTAAGACAATACTATTAAGTTCTAGCAAAATATTGCAAAAAAAAAAAATTGCAACTTACAAAAATTCAACAATATTTCAATTTTTTTTGCTTCAATTGATTTTTTTCTCCTTATAAGTTTATAAGTTATAAACTCTCCTATAAATTTGTCTTTAATGTTTTTCTATAACATATAAATTTGGTTGTACTATGTTTTAGACCGTTATCATAATTTATTTTGTTTAATAAGCTCCAGGTTTGGCTTCAGTACAGACTAATCTAATGTATATATGCACAAATTTAATGTTGTATAGCTTCCTATTTAAATAAGAATTTAAAAGATAGATTTGTGAGGGGCGTACTTTTATATATGCTAAGCACTGTAAATGTTCTAGAATATGCTAAGCTTGCTAAAACATGATTAAAATGCTAGCATTTTGTTTCGGACATTATAAAAGGGCGAAAATAAAATTAAAACATGCTAGCACTTCATAAAACTTGCTTGTCTGTTTGTTGAAAAATGTTAAACAAGACAAACTTTATTTGTATATTAACTAAGTTTTATTATTTTCTGACATTTCAGTGTGAACGAGCAACTTATGCTTGAATCTAGAATGAACAGAGAATGTTTTGACGCAGATTGCAGTTTTTTTTTTTTTTTTTAATGCATTAATCTTTCAGTGAACTTTGTGTGCAGATGTGGGCTCTTCATGCTCTGTCCACTGTGGTGGACCTAGCAGGTCCTTTGTACCACAGTCACCTGGAGGCCAGCTTCACTCTGGTGCTGCGTTTGCTCCTCTCTACCCCACACACACACATGGAGGTGCAGCAAAGCCTGGGCCGCTGTCTTAACGCCCTCATCACCTCTGTGGGGCCGGATCTGCAAGGTGCATAACACACATTTATTTACCCATAAACAAACTCAAGCACTTTGTCATCAAGCAGGTGAGACCTTTAAACTCTCATATCTTTTTGGTTGTTTCCTGTAAACTATCTCCAGGTGAGGGTGCAGGTGTGTGTGCGGTGAGGACCTCGTGTTTGGTGGGCTGTGCTGTGATGCAGGATAGCCAGGACTGTTTAGTCCAGGCTCAGGCCATCTCTTGCCTCCAGCAGCTGCACATGTTTGCGCCACGCTTCGTCAATCTGTCCAGCCTTGTGCCAAGTCTCTGTGTATGTGATCAATGCACTGAACACCCACAGTCATACACAACAACACACATTAAACTTAACAGATCTGATACCACAAATACAGTAAACTTCGTAAGGTTGTTGGGCTATAACGTTGTTTTTTTCCTGCTCCAGCAGATTTGTTTAGGTAAGCAGAAAAGTAGTTTTCAAGGAGTAAAAAAATGCTTTTTTTCTATTATTATATATATATATATATATATATATATATATATATATATATATATATATATATATATATATATATATATATTATTTTATTTTTATATTATTATATTAGTATATATTTGTTTTGAGGCAGACTTAATTTAAATTATAAATGTTTATATCTAATAATTTAGGTATAATAATTAATAAATTAAATAAATTATATATAATAATTAACTGATTTGAGGTAAAAGAAAAAAAAAAGAAATCTGTAGTATCAGCCAGTTAGTGATTATTGTTTTAGATTCCACTGATATCACTGCTAATAGCCAATAAATGTATTAATACAGAGTTCTGTTTTGAAACTCTATAAGTAGGGATGCTCCGATCAAGATTTTGGCAGCTGATACAAAGTATCGATTGCTTGTCATGGTGATCGGCCAATACCGAGAACTGATTTTGATGCTCTGAGCACATTTTCCCTCTAAGTGTGATACTCAAGTGGAGATCTCTCCTTACCTAAGAGAATAGATGAAGGATGCTTCATATAATCCCTTAAACATGTCTCTTAAAACCATTTACAGGGGTGATAGCGTTCCGGCACCACGCCGGATTTCCGGCGTACTGTGGCTGCGGGGAAAAAAAATCAGGTTCACGGATATTGATCTGTCATTTCTCTAGATTCACAGAATTGGTTTTTATTAAGTGCCATTTTGTGTGCTCGTGAATCATCTTTTGAGTGTAGACGCCATGTAAATAAAAGATTAATTGTGTAATTTGAGCTTTATAAATTATAACGGATCTTTGTGAGATCTCTATGAACTAAGATTAGTGACGCTTTTTAGTGATAATAAGAGGAGCGTGCTTTGCACTTTCCAGGCTATAATCCATTCAGAATTTGTATGAAACTTTCGTTTTCGGCACATATACGCTGAAATGTTTTGGGAATGACATCTGCATATTTACGCTGGGTTTATTCTCGAAATAACGGTGAAGCAATAGACGGGACAAAAATATATTTCCCCCTTCTCCTTAATTAACTTAGTGTTTCAGCTATGAAATAGTTCAGTTTTGTATGTAACCTAATGGCAAAGTGTTTATATTTAGTTTCGTTTTTTATTCAGCTTATTTAGAAAAACGTTTGGAGCAGTTTTTATTCGTTAAAAATAAGTTTTTTTTTTTAACGAACAGCGCCCAGCGGAAGACCATCATTGCCTGTTTGATCAGTTTGCCTTCTCAGATCATCACGACTTGCCTAAAATAAAAGATATAAAACAGTTCAAGTATAAAACAATGGTAGCTTAAACGTTAAAGAATGTGTGCTATTAGGCGCATAGTTTGCTTATAAAAAGCTTGCAGGCATCGAGGCGCCAGAGCAATCACTTGCATTTTTCCAGTGGGAGCAATTTAAAGTTATCCGTCATTTTTGCTCACAAAGTACGAGTAATACATCAAAAAACGTTACAGCGTTTTATAAAATAAAGAAAACCAAAATTATGCGCTTTCTGTCGTCTGGTTTTTGAACAGGAGCGCTTAACAAAATGAAGCAAAATATGCCTCACAGACATAATACAGGGCTCGAAATTGCGACCATTTTGGTCGCATATGCGCCCGAAAATTAATCTATGCGACCTCATAATATATCTGGGAGCATTAGTGCGACTGCAGATAATGGTTGTAGTGCGACCTGTTTTGATTTTTTGTAAAAACGTGCTGAATCGCTCTTCCCTGCCGCTATATTGGTTCATATTAGCTGTCAATCATTCAAGGTATTCCGCTGTCAGATGACAGGGAAGGAGCTTTTATGACCACGGGAAATACAAACGGCTGAAGAGTAAAAACTTAAAGCACACAGGTTTGCAAACCCCACCTAAAGTTGAGGCGCAGATGAGAGCGATCATGACACGTCACGTGGTGAATAATGATCCGCCAGCTGAGATCAATCGAGTACGCGCTTCTTGGAGAAGGTGCCCGAATCTCCATGCGTTGCATTCACTGCGTGTTCAGCGCAAATGTCCGCTAAAAGTCAAATCTAATACTGTACATATCATCGCCAAAGAAGCTCGCCTTTACTAAATTTACACTGAAACTGCGGCTCATCATAACAAACAGCGGTTTTGCGCCGGTGGTCACAGCAAGAATCCTGCTCAACCTGCTCATAAATTGGGTCGGCTGAATCGCCAGCTTTCCACTAACACAGAAAAATAAAGATCAGCTCAGACTGAACCTTTAAATTGACACAAACTAAAACCAAAACTTTTAAAGAGTGATAGAAGTGAGACTTTACTTACTTTTTTTTTCGTCTATTCTTTTTTGAGGTGTATATTATTTTTTATTTATTTACTGATGACTGCTTTGCAGCTTTCAGCATTGAATTGAATTATTTATTATAATCTTTTATTCGTTTTGTAGCAGAAAAAATATTTATTAAATTGACATGCATATAAAAACAGCACAAAATAAATATTTCTTACTGCAATGCTTCATTTTTGTTTGATGCAAACTATACATTTATTTTTCATAAAGTAACAGACTTTTTATAGCAGATATTCATGCACGTTCAAGGCAGTTCATTGTTACTATTATTGTCATTTTCATTATCATTGATATTCTATAATTATTAGACATTCATTTTGAAATTATTGCACACAAATATCAAGTCATCACAGCATTAGTTAGTTGTTTCTGGTTTTTGTTAGTCCTATTGATGTTGTTTTAAAATACAATAAATACCTTAAAAAACTATTTGCAGCGGTGCTCATTCATTTTGGTGGGTGCTCCTAAATTTTTTTTGTTTGGTGCTCCTAAATATTTGAAGTTGGGAGCACCGGTGCTACCAAGTAAAAAAGTTAATTTCGAGCCCTGTAATAAATATATTTATAGAAAGCTTTAAATTATTACTTAACGAAATAAAACAAATCGAAAACAAAAAAACTCCTTCATGTAATCCGTAAAGATGAATTTCTCTCTAAAGGCGAGTCCAAGAGGAGATTGCCAGTCAGGATCTTTGCGACACTGACTCAGAATAAGTTTATTAATAAATAATTAAGATATGTCCTTACTCTTTCCTCGACACATTCATTGTTATTTGTTTTTGCCGGTGCTTGGGGCGAGTTTTAGCTTATTGTGTGCGCTTGAACGCGGATTCACAGTAGCAGTTTTAACATGGAGTGACACGACATTTGACGTACAGATGACACTGCCACATGCCACTGAGTGTAGTGACACTTCCGGTGGCACGTCCGGTTTTCCACTGTCATGTGTCACTCGCTAGTGGCATGTGTAGTGACCTGTGTCACTCAGAGTGTCGCGCTGCATGTCACTGCAGTGACATCGACACCCGGCGAAGCTTATGACATTAATTAACACGAGCAAAACTATATTTAATCATTACGCGACTTTTAACCTAATTTATCGCGTCGCAAGTTAGTTTATTTGCTGAGCTACTCCACGATGTTTTAATTTAAACGCATTTATTTTATGTATTCGTAGTCATACTTCCGTACGTAATGTAGTCATTTGACAGTACATGTCAGTCAAATTTATTGTGGCATGCTTATGTATGGGAGGGGTTACACTTATCTGTTGTACTGTATATTATTGCATCCTGGCAGTTCCTTTGTTCCCTACAATATGGACTTCTCTATGTTTTTAATTCATTAATTTATTTTATTATTTAACTTATTTTCATTTTAAGGTATTTTAAATAATATCCTTTAAAAAGTTATAATAAAATGCATGTTGAAAACTCATAACATATATGCATGTAAGATAACAAGTGTCATTTGCCTAATGATTTTTAAATATTAAAGCAAAGAGACTTATAAGATTAATGTGCTTATAACGTGCTTATACTGACACCTACTGGCACATGTCACAAGATCACTGACACTGGCATGTGTCACTGACATTACTGGCATGTGTCTAAAAAGAGCCACTTGACAATAATGATGATCAGGGTTACACATAGGCTGTTAATATATTTGGGCCCAGGGGCCCACAAGTTATGTGTTAAAAGTGCGTTGCATACATAATACACCCACCCCTACTCACCTCAGGGGCAAGGAAAAAAAGTTCAGGCTCAGGAATTTTTTCCACTATCAGCCCTGCATTTAGTGTGGACATGTTATAACCAGAAGTAGCTTTACAGAAAATAACATAACACAGATATAATAAATGGTTCCTCTGCTTGTAAACTCAAACAAACCACTGTGATCGGTTCATGATTTTGACAAGTACCGATCAAGTCATTAAATGTTATTATCGGCCGATACTGGTCTTTAGCCGAACGATCGAAGCATCCTCATCTATTGGCCTTGCAGGCTGATTATTTCAATCTGCTTTGGACAACATTATCTACTCATGCCGCAGGTGATTGCTTGCTTTTTGCTTAACAACCAATAAGCTAGCTCGTCAACATTTTAAATATCTCAGTGTCATTTTCGTTTTCATTAATTATATTTAGATCTAACTGGTCTATATGTTTTATATTATTATGTAATATATAATCAGCCAATAATACTTTTATTTGAAAAATGTCATGTCATCGGTAGACCCATATGGAATCTGTGCGTGCAGAAATCTGCAGATTTCCTCATATTTTTAGCCCATCGAGCTGTCATTTTTAGCAAATTTATATTAATTCAGTTTTTAAATTGATTTTAGAAATATTATTGACTAATATGAAAGTGTTCATGTGATTTATTTACAATACAGTTTTTAAAGTAATATTTTCTGCTTTTTAGTAGATATATTATATGAGAAACTTGCTTTGTTAACCAAATAAGTGAATCTAGATGGGTCTGCATTGTAGACATTAAATTAAAGTTAAAAAGGCAATATTTTTTATTTCATATATTAAGTCTTTAGTTATGATACTCTCAAAAAAATTCTGCATAAATCTGCAGATTTTTACAAAATTCTCAGCAGATATAGCAAAAAATGTCCACACTAAATTAACAGTGGCTTACCAAACAAATTCACATTTATTTATTTTGTATAAAATATACTTTACTTTTCCAATAAGAGTGGACATGCCTGTTTTAACTTAAATGTGTTGACACTTCCAGTATCATTTACTTTCTTTCATTTCATTACCTTTTCTATTACAGTAGTCATTTACCTATAGTGACTGTTGAATCGTTAATAACGCTTTCACACAAAGTATTGCCAAATAGCTTGGATAGAATGAAAATGTTAGAGGTGAGTGCATGCAGGCTTTGGGTTTCCCTCATCTGTAGTAACAGTGCTGTTTTCTGTTCTCTCGTACAGGAGATCTTGTTGGATTATTCTGTGTTGGTAGGTTTTGTCTGCCTCTCTGCTGCCAGGCCACTTTATACCCTTTCTTTTGTTTGCACTTCATCTCTCCCTCTCTCAATCTATAAATATGCTCTCTTGTCCTCTTCTCATTTTCCCCCAGTGTGAAACTAACTCGGGCAGGATCTGGTTTTGAGCATGAGCACACAGTGTCACTGCCTCTAACTGCAGGGTTAATGCCAAGGGTTAGATTTGCTTGACTTGGTTCTTTCTCTATTGACTTCTTACACTGACCACCCACACAGTGCACATGACATTCTCATCCACAGCTGAGGCCTTATGCCAATCCACTCTATTAGCTTTAATACTTGGAGTGCTTTAGTCCCTCACACACACACACACATACACACAGATTTAGACAATATTAGACCGTAATTGAGAAAAACACGCTTTGTTCTTCATGCTCTATTTTTAGGTGGTTTGATTTATGGTCCTATTCTTTGCAAACAGCTCGCTTGTCACATCAGTTAAAACTCAAAACAAGCCTTGACAGTAGCCCTGTTGTCCCTTTCTCCTATCCCTATGTCTTTTTCTACACTAAAAAACATTTCCATGGGATCGTTTTGACATACCAGGACTAACCTTGATGTGGCTGCAGGTGTCTGCTAAAGTGTTTTTCCCCCTTGTTTCTGTATTATGTTGTTTGAAATGTGATGAAGTGAACATCACATTTGAAGTGTCCTCTAATTCATTCCCTTGTCTGATTTATTATGTGTGTATAACATGCATTATAGGGGTGCGTCATATGATCTCTTCCTCAATCATATGAACTGTTCGTCACAGTAGATTCACTGCTACTCATTAGTTTGACCATACTAATGTTTGTAGCATTGCTCAGCCTGGAATTAAAATTTCCTGTTAATTTACTATCTTTTGAGCTATTAAAAATGTAGGTGACTTTTTTTAGTTGTTGTTCTGCAGTAGAATATGTTTAGCTTAAAATGTGGTGCTTGGTGATTCATATCATGCAATTTAATGGAAAACCACAGTAAGTCAAATAACATACACTGGCAAAACAAACATAATACCCATGGCGGTGGATGATGCATGAAGGTGTTGTAAAATAAAATAACAGGTCTGTTAAAAAAAAAACCTAAAGCTTATTTACAGCGTTATTACCTGTTATTCACAGCCTCAGGCAAATAATCTAGAACAGCGGTTCTCAAACTTTTTTCAACAAGTACCACCTCAGAAAAAAAAGGTCTCTCCAAGTACCACTATAATGACCAGGAATAAAATACAGTAGAGTAGCAGGCCTAATTAAGCAATGACATGAAATAATGAAATCTAAACATTAACTTGTCTATTAAATACACGAGTTTGATCATATATTTAAATTCGAAATTAGATCTGCTTACTGCACGCTAGAGTAGGCTTTGTGTGTCGGAAAAGCCTTTAATTAAACCATAATTAAACCATACCTGGGATATAAAAATACAGGATACACCCCCAACAATCGTTACAAATATGGGGAAAAGATTAGCTTCAAATGATAGAATACATAACAAACAGTGGAAATTTTAAAATAAAATAAAACGTTTACCTTATTAAAATCAATTTACTGATCACATTGAGGTTATGCGTCAAAGGGTTAAAAGTGTGTTCTTTTTTTACTTTAATTATTCATCGATTCTTCCCGCGTACCACTAGAAGGAAGTATGTGTACCACTAGTGGTACACGTACCACAGTTTGAGAACCACTGATCTAGAATGACGTCTGGTTCACCAAGAAATCCTTTTTAATGAGTCTTGATGAAACAGGCTGAAATGTCTGCAATGGTTTGAGTGTTACTTAAAAGAGTTTTAGACATGCTCTAAACTGACTTTTTTACTTGTTAATCCAATTGAGACCTAACTGAGAAAACAGCACCAAAGAACTGATGCGCCAGTGACTTTTTGAATGTGCAAAATTAAAGAGTTATGTCACTCCAAAAAAACTGTTAATTACTCACCCTCACGCCGTTCCAATCTCCTGAAACCTTCGTTCTTTTTAGGAACATACTAATTATTTTAGAGCTCTATCATCCTCCATATTCTTCATAGACTTCCAGAAAAGGACAAAAACTGTCAAATCAAGACTTCAACTGTAATCATATGAAGCTCAAAGAACACTTTTGTGCACCGAAAACATCTTTGTATGCCAGTGTCTTCCATATTATATCAGGGTGCATGTTTACTATGCGTAATATGATGCTTCTGTGTTACGCTGCTGACTTTAATGGCACAATATTGTACTGGCCATAGTAAATGCACACCCTGATGATGATCTGACACGGGAAAAAGGATATAGGTTAATAAAGCCATGTTTACTGGCTTTTTTTTTGGCTCACAATTTTTTGAGGGGAACCTCTAAGGTCACATGGAATGTTTTGAAAATATTTTTGGTTTCTTTTCTGCACTTTGAATGTCTTGTGATCACTTTCTATGGAGGAAGATGGAGCTGTTGGATTTCCTCTAAAATATCTCAGCTTGTGAAGATGAACAAATGTCTTAGGGGATTTGAATGACATGAGGGTTAATAATTAATAACAAAATGAAAATGTTTGGGTGAACTAACCCTTTTTTGCATCTAATCTTAAGTACTGTTTAAATACTGTTTCAGTCAAAACATAACTTCTATTTGCAGAAGAAAAAAAGTCCCCTACACTTGTTAAAGAAGTTGACACCAAATTGGAATTTTTGGCTAAAACATCCCATTAAAATCTGTCATATTCAATCCCAAATATGTTTTGGTGTATGTGCAGATAAATCTGTGCAGCTCATACCTGTCTCTGCGGCGAGCGGTTGTGGCCTGTTTAAGACAGCTGGCTCAGAGAGAGGCAGTGGAGGTATCGGAACACGCAGTGGCTCTGGTTAAAGAGCTTCCCCGCAGAGACAACACACAGCTGGGTGAGTCAGCATCACCCACACTGCACAGCACAGCACATCACTTATCTCAGCTTATTTTACTCTACTCTGCATTTTGAGGTGAGTTTGACCGCAGCGAGCAAGCCATGGGTTATTTTTGGACCTGGAATTTTGTTTTGAACCTTGGCAGCAAATATGATTTAGTCATCAAAATACACTGCTGTTTGATGTTTTGGTGTCAATAAAAGATAAAGGTAGAAAGGTAGCATTAAACTAATAAACAAAATAATATCTTAAATAAATCCTGTTCTTTTGAACTTTTTGAAACATCAGTGAATTTTAAATGTTAAAATAATGTATTTGGTTTCAACAAAGATGTTTTGAATAATTTTTTTCAAAAGCTAGAATTTTTGTTCCTCAAAAAATCATGTGACATGAAAAACTAGTATTAACTATCCTTCTAAATCTATGAGAATAGAGATTCAAACCACAGCTATAATAACAACAGTAATAAATGTTATTTATAATAATAAAAATATATTCTTCATTATTTGTATATTTATTATAATTCTTATTATATGAGTATGAATATAATATAATAATAAATAGAGAAATATAGAATTTAAAAAACTTTCAAAAAATATTTTTTCCTGCTTATGAATAATAATAAAAAAAACTTTGACAGCCTATCAGAATCCATTCTGCTTCAAAAAAGCATCAACACAAAAACAAAGATTTAAAGAGGCAGACAAAATGGCGGCTTGTGCTTATAATACACAGACCATAGTTTTTTGTAAGTGATGATAATGTAATTATGTATTTATATAGCGCATTTATTTTCTATGGCCGAATACCCAAAGCGCTTCACAATCATGAGCGGGTCTCTCCACTCAACCACCAGTGTGCAGCATCCACTTGGATGATGTGACTGCAGCTACAGGACAATGACGCCAGGGCACTCACCACACACCCAGCTATTGGTTGAGGGTAGAGACGTAATGGAGCTAATTCAGTGGATGGGGATGATTGGGAGGCCATGATGGGTAAGGGCCCAGGAAGAGTATTTACTCAGGAGACCGGTGTTACACCCTTACACCCCTACGAGAAGTGCCATGGGATTTAAAATCACCACAGAGGGTCAGGATCTCAGTTTAACATCTCACCTGAAAGACAGCGATCCCTAACAGTACAGTGTCCCCTTCACTATACTGGGGCATTAAGTCTCACTCAGACGGCAGGTTAATTGCCCCCTGCTGGCCTCACTAACACCACTTCAAATGGTTGTTATTATTTTTGTAGTTATTTTCATGACTTTTCAAATTCAATTTTGCTATCACAGGAATAAAAGACATCTTGCAGTATATTTTAATTAATGTTACTGGATTTTCAAAAGTTTTTTTTTACAGAAAGAACAAAGGCATTTATAATTAGTTAACCATACTTAGTTAAAATGTATGTCTTTTTATAGCACATTTCACAATGTAGATTGTGTCAAAGCTGCTTTACATGGTTGAGCAGAAAAAATTGAAAAAAAAAGCCATGAAAGTTTCAGGTTATTGAACATATTCAGCATCAGGCAGGCAGCAGAGTAATGGTGTTGTTCTAGTCAGATTAAAACTCCTTCAGTTTAGTTTAATATGAATGTCAGTGTTGAATGATGATCCACTTGAACAGCAACTCCTTAGGATGTCCTTCATGTGAAATAATCGCTGTCTGTCCTGCAGATGTCACTATTAAGGAGGTGGGCTTGGAGGGAGCTTTGTTCAGTCTCCTGGACAGGGAGTCGGATCCCCGCCTGTGCAGAGACATTCAGGAAACACTGGTCCATATGATGAGTTCAGCAGCTGAGAGTAAGCTGGCCCACTGGCTGAAGCTCTGCAAAGATGTACTGTCCGCTTCTGCAGGTGAAACATCTGTGTTGCTACCTGTTTAAAGATTGTTTTTTTACATAACATATTATTACAATACAAAAACAATTACATAAAAAAAATTATATTATACATTTATTATCTTGTAAATATTCAGTAATTAACATTTCTGATTTTTTTATTTCATTGTGTAAAACTTTTTATTACTGTATATTTATAGATAGATAGATAGATAGATAGATAGATAGATAGATAGATAGATAGATAGATAGATAGATAGATAGATAGATAGACGGAAAGATGTATTCAATTTGCAGGATAAATGTTTCAGTGTGCATGTATCAGTATGCAAATGTGTTTTTTGCCAAACATTTCCACAAACCCCAAGCATATCATTATTATATCATTATTGTATAGATGTTTAATTTAGTGTGAATTTAGTTTGTTTGTTTGTTTATTTATTTATTTATTTTTTTATAATTTTTTAGACTCCGCTGCAGCCGCCTCTGTAGAAACCCAGCAAGAGGAGGATGGAGATCGATATGATGACTCCTCTGCATTCCATGCAAAATCTGAGTCCAGCGGGCCCTTCAATAACCTGCGCTGGTCCACTCGTGTGTTTTCTATGGAGTGTGTGTGTCGCATAATAGCACAGTGTGAGAACAGAGACTCAGCTCACTTTAACATGGCACTTGCTCAAGAGCAGCGTTTACATGAGTCCACAGGTTAGACCATTCATAGTTTTCTTCTCTATTACTCTATATTCTGTGATATCTTTTCTGATGTGTTTAATGAATCACAGGATCTTAGCGCCACCTTTTGGGGTGATGTATATATTTTTGTTAAGACAGTTAATACTGGCAACCCGTTGTTTGGCAGATTTCCTGGTTCTTCACTTGGCGGATCTGATCCGCATGGCGTTCATGGCATCCACAGACCACAGTGACCAGCTCCGACTGGCTGGTTTGCAAACGCTTCTGGTCATTATTCGTAAATTCTCCAATGTACCAGAGCCTGAGTTCCCTGGGCATGTCATTCTGGAGCAGTATCAAGCCAATGTGAGTCTTAAAGTCATCTTTATAAGCGCAAAGTAGTGATGAAAGTGAAAAACAATGATAAACTTTGATTGAGGAATGTCCTAAATATTATTAAACTTCATAGCAAAGGATCAGACTCTAACATATTAGCAAGACATAAGGTGATAAGATTCCAGTGTCAAAAGTAATTTGGTTGTCCACATCTAATGCGACACAACAGAATAATTTAAATATCACAGAAATTTAGGAGGTTAGAATAGATGTAACAACCTTTCCCAACAAAATTGACAGGTTTAATAAATATTAAACCTCATCAATGTTATTAAAAGCATACAGTATGCTGAGTGACTGATGTTGGTTTGCACAATTTGAATGTTCATACTTAAATTGTATGTTTGCTAGTTTTTTTTTTATTCGAGGTAAATTACTGCTGCTGCTTTCAGTATGGTAATATATGTCACAAATTATATTAAAACCTATACATTTAACAATTAACACTGAATAAATATATAATCAACAGCTGAGATGATCATATTCATATTAGTTTATACTGTTGTTTAGCTAATATGTCGCAGAAATAGAAACCATTTTTAAAATATAAACAGCTTTTTGCATTGCTTCAATGGATGGTTAGGACCTTTTATCACATGTGGAAGTGTCGTGGTGTGTGTTGTTAGGACTGCATTGTAAAGACATTGTAGCTTTTTTGCTCAAAATTATTGTATAAATATTTGGTTTTCAACTGAAGGAAAAAGTGCTAATTTGATGCATTTAGATGAGGGAAATTAGCACATTTGTGCATATAGTCATCATTTCATGAAAAAAAGAATATTTTATCTTGTATTATAACAAAAAAAAATCTTAGATGGGTTCTATTGTTTTTCTACAATTTAAAGGGATAGTTCTTCCAAAATCACAATTTACTTACCAAACATTTCTAAGTTTCTTATGTCCACAAAAGAAGATGTTTTGGAGAATGTTAAAAACCAGTAGCCATTGGCTTCTATTGTAAGAAAAAAATTATTTGGAAGTCTGGCTGGTTTCCAATATTTTTCAGAATATCTTCTCCTGTGTTCAATAGGTAAAAGAAACTCAAACAGGTTTGGAACAAGTGAAGGGTGAATAAATGATGACAGAATTGTCATTAGTGCGTGAAATGTCACTTTAAGGGCTTAAAAAGATTTCTCAAAAGAATGAGTCTAAAATTATAAAGTCTAGATTGCTATACTAGAGGTAGAGAATTTATTTATTTTTTTTTTTTAAACTGTATGTTCAGAGTTGTACAGTAAAGCTCTTTGCTGTTATTCTTAGACACTGGAGAAAGACATGAGCACGTCCGTCAGTCTCTTGTTACTGTGCGCGTGTGCATGTGTTAGCTCGTGTGTGAGGGCCCCTATCATTTACACTAAATTAGGTTATCTGTAGGCTTAGCAGGGGGCCCTAGTATCAAATAGTGACGTGAAACATCTTTAGCGTTGTGTGCTAGACAGTTCTAAGCTAATATTTAATAGGCTTTACCAGACGAGTAAAAAACTCATTTAAGCATTAACTTTTAAATGTTTATTAAAGAATAATTAAGGTTCTTGATAAGAAATGTAACACATTTTTTGTGTTTAATATGTACTGATCTTTGTTTGATGTAGGTTGGAGCTGCGCTTAGACCTGCCTTCCATGTGGACGCTCCTCCAAACGTGACCGCCAAAGCTTGCCAGGTGTGCTGCTTAAGTAGCATAATTATCTATAATCATGCACTTTTTCTTCCTCTTCTTCCTTTTACCCACACAATGTTATTAAAAGTATCATGTGGCCCAGCAAACTGTTTAACTCTAAAGTCAAGCATGTTGTCATTCACATTACTAAACCAAGCATCCCAACTATGTTGTTTCTGTAGTGCCCAAAGCAACCCCTTACACTGTTTTCCAACCTCCTGAACTTACTTTAAACTAGTTTTAAAATGCCCCGAGTTCATGGTTGTTATCTTGACTTAGTTTGTTCCCCATAAACCTGCTCCAGTGGTGTTGAGTTTTGACATGACCCATTGTTGACCTTCAGGTCTGCAGTGCATGGATCGCCAGTGGGGTCATCAGTGACCTGCGGGACCTGAGAAGGGTACATCAACTTTTGGCATCCTCTCTGGCCAAAGTGCAGGTGGGGAGAGATGTTCCCAGTCAGCTCTATAATGAAAGCACCTTCACCATGGAGTCGCTGGCGGTGCTCAAAGCCTGGGCGGAGGTACTCAACACCATCCTAGAACTTTTAAATCACACACACTTTTGTGGTTGTTTCACTGTAGGGACGGGCAGGATGATGAAAAAACAACTAGTAAAATGGCGGAAGAGCAGAAGTATCTTTAAGTTACTCTTGCGTGGGCTTAGTTAGATGGCTTGTATAGTGACTGAACAAAAATATTTTAAAACTGTTCTGAAAGTTGACTGGATTTACAAATAGCCATACATTTTTAACATGTGAAAGTAATAAAAACTATTCCTTCCAATATTATAATATTTATTAAAATTGGAGTAAAGTTATAAAAAATAAGTTCAAGTAATGTTTTAAAGAGAGAAACTTGTTGAACAAAAAAAATCTGTAGCACTACTTACTGTTTGAGATTTTTTACAGTGTGGTATATCTGTGGTCAAGATCTTAAATTATCATATCCTAAAAGAGTATTGAATTCTTGCAATGCCTGAGAATACTGAATTGGTGGAATTATGTATTATTTAGGTCACACTTTACAACAAGGTTTCATTAGTTAATGTATTTACATTTTTATAGAAGAAGAATTATTAGATTATTATTATGTAAATGAATACTAGTTTCATAATAAAACGGTGATATGTCTCTGTTGCTTTAGTTTTTTTTCATTAATAAGTCATTATGTAAGCTAATAAGTATTACACTTAGATGTGTTTTCCCAATTTCATTAGAATTTGATCTAAAAAATAAAGTACACATAAATTCTTGATCAGTAAAAAAAAATATATATATTTATATATATATATTTGTGGCAATTAACTTTTTTCAAGTTTTCAAGTAAATGTTAGATAATGCCCCATCTGATCTGTGTTTTTTTTTTTTTTTTAAATCAGAAAGCTATAATGTTCTCTGAATGTGTATGTGTCTTAACTCTGCAGGTCTACATCACAGCAGTGCAGGGCTCTAGGCAGAGGGACAGTCCGGTCAGTCATCAGCAGCAGCAGAGTGAGGAGGCTGGGACTGCAGGTCAAGCAGGGGCTGGTTTGCTCAAACTAGTTCAGACTGATCTGGCAACCCTGAGTCGCCTATGGCTGGCAGCCCTTCAGGATCATGCCCTGCTCACACTGCCCCCACACTACTCTAGTCATCTTCCCTCCACAGGTCAATGCTCATGATTCTCAGGTTACACAGCACAGTGTTGAATATCTGTGCTATTGGTGGATCCAAAATGTTTGTATAAATAGAGGAAAACAAGTTAAATGTAAAGAATAAAGTTAATATTAATGTATAGGGTTAATGTTAGTCTATGAAGTAGTACAAAACAATTATAATACTTTATAATATTATAATATTATAATATTTCCTTTTCTATTTGGTATTTCTTATTGGCAAAGCTGAAGTTTCAGCATCATTACTGAAATCTACAGTGTCTCGTGATCCTCAATTTTTTTTGTTCTGGTGCTTGAGAAACATTTCCTATTACAGTTTCTGTTATTAAAGTTGAAAACAGCTGCTCTGTCACTGTCTAATCAATTTATTGCATTCTTACCGAGTCAAAGTATAAATAAAAAAAAAATAATAACTTTTACTAAGGCCAATCATCAATTCATGGTTTCCATAAAATCTAAATATTCTGCACGTTATTTTTTTACTATTGTAAGACATGGCAGTGATTTGATAATGTAATTGACAATTTTTTATTACTGTGTAGTTTGTCTTGTTCACAGTTACTATGTGTGTGAGTTCAAATTCTAACAGGCTTCTCTGTTTGTCAGGCGGCTCATTTTACACTGCAGAAACGGTGGAACAGGCCCGTCCACATTACTACAGTGCCTGGGCAACCATTCTCCATGCCACTGCCCTCTGGCTCAACAGCACCGGCTTTATCGTGGTGGATGAGGGCCCTGCAAACCTTTCCAGGCCCGTCACGCCCACTTCCATGGGCCAGTCCACATCACTGAGCAACGTTAAATCTCCAGAGGACATCAACAGTGATCGCCTACACCTCATCCTTGGTACATGGCTCAGTTAATGTTTCTGCTTTCATGAAGTAGATGTAGTTCATTGTTTATAGTGTATGTTGCTTTATTAAAAACACTGGGTTTTGCTCTAGAATCTAGTCATTCTTTATGGAATGTTTATCAGGATCCTGCATCGTACCAATCATAAATACAGGTGTGAATATGGTCTGAAATATCTCAAGCATTTTGACCACTTTCAGAGGTAGTTGAAAACTCACAAACGGATTGCTTTCTTAGTGTTTGGTTTGAAGGTGAAAAAAAGTACAATGGTCTACTAATGGTCCTCTTTCTAACACAAACCATCAGTGTTCAGTGTAGTTTTGCAGCTATCAGAGCAAAAATGAAGCTGCTGCACTTTTTTTTTTTTGTCTCCTTTTTTTAGTTTATTTGTATAGCACTGTTCACAATAATTGTTACACAGCAGCTTTACAAAAGGTGCACCTGCAATACTATCAAAATCAAAAAGTTAAGTTACAAAAGTTAAGGTTATTAGTTGCAGGAATTTTATAACTTTAATTACTTTAATAAAGTTGTTAATTGTTAGTTAATTAAAGTTATTATATATGAACGTGTTTAACCTGCAGTTATGTAGTATATAGGTGATGTCTATGTGTATATATTCAATGAAGTGTGTTTGTGTATTAAGTGCATATGCTGTCCTTGGCTGGTTGGCATTATCTCTTCACATGTCTTGGATCTGATGGGCATCTCCAGGTGGAAATAGAGAGCAAAGAAAATAATTAATGTATATTTGATATTTACATATTTTTGATATGTAAATATAAAATGCACACATACTTATTTTGCAATGTCAGATTGAAAAAGCTCATTTACTATAGACCCTTTCCTCAAAGAAATCAAGAAGGGGATCGAAAATGGTCTAAAGAGTCTGATACTACACATGTTGTAAATGGGAATGTGTATCACTCATCTTTATCATCTATAATAGACCAAAATATTATGTTAATTCTGGGTGTAAATAGGCCTTGATTCTTAATTATGTGAATTATGTTATATTTATTCTTCTTTATTGTTGTTTTTGTTTACTTTATTTCTCCTGTCAGGGATCAGTGTGGAGTTTTTGTGCTCTCCTCATTCTGGAGACCAAATGGAAAACATTCATTCATGTCTTCAGGCTCTGCAGGCCTTATTGGAGGTGCCTTGGCCTCGCTCAAAAGTGGGCAATGATCAGGTATTCTACAGTGTAAAGCAAGCTATTACTGTAATTTGTGTATGCTATGATTAAAATCAGGGGTCAGTTGCATAAACACATCCACCATGCTAAGATATTCTACTAGGACTAGTTTGTCCAAATAGCAGGTAGCCAAGTGATCTGGCTTTTTGAACTCAGACTAGAGTTGTCAGCATTTTTTTACATATGAGTTTAAAAAATTGTGGCTAATCCTGAAGAAAAATGTTTGGCGACTAACTTTTTAAAACCAGCCTAACCAGTTTATGCTACTGGCCACAGATGTGTTTTTATGTTAATGAAAGGGTTTTTAGACTATTAAAATGAAATTTGATCAAAAGTGATTGCAACAATGTTTAGAGTAATACTTAAAAATATAAAAATTAAATAATTATCAATTATAAATAGCGTAATAATATAAATAATAATATAATAGATAATAAAATAATTTAATGGCTTTTTGAAGGCTCATTTGGCACTGTAAAAGTTTTAAAACATTACTGGTTTTAATGTATTTTGTGATGTAATAAATAATGCAGCCTTTCAGAGCACATTTCAGAGCACATCAGTTTTTGGATTACTTTAGCATTTTAATTATTGTACCACTATTTTTTGGTTTGTGTTAATCTCTATAATTAAAAAATCAATTATCAAATGATCAGTTTACCTTTTTTCTCTAAATAACCCAGAGTTCTCATTCTGCTTTAGATATATTTCTATTAGTAGAAACAATACTGGACTGATTTAAATTGCACTATGATTCTTCAAGGCCTGCGGTTTAGGATTTGTCTTCGTGTCATTCATGTGTTTTGATCTCTGTTCCTGAAAGTCGATGATGTTCTCTCTTTAGGCTCTGAGTGTGGAGCTGCTTAGCATCCTGCATAGGCTCATAGTCACTCGGGAATCTCCCAGCATTCAGCTGGCTGTGCTGGAACTGGTGCAGCAGATTATTTGTGCAGCTCAGGAACACGTCAGAGAAAAACGCCACAGCGCAGAGGGTGAGTCTGAACTCAAAAGGCACCATGTAGTGCTTGAATAACCCTCTGAAGTTATCATTCTTCCTTGTGTTTAATCAGTGGATGACGGTGCGGCAGAGAAGGAAACAGTTCCTGAGTTTGGTGAGGGACGAGACACTGGTGGCCTGGTGCCAGGGAGATCTCTCGTGTTTGGAGCACTGGAGCTGTGTCTCTGCACGCTTGTGAGGAAGCTTCCGCAGCTCAGCCCCAAACTGACCGGCAGTCCCACGGGACGGGGAGGACAGACGTGCTCCCTCAGCGCCACTGACTGCAGACTCGTCACATCTGCTCTGGCCATCCTCTCTGAACTGCCCTCCATCTGTTCACCAGAGGGTAAGTGATCCGGAGAATTACAGAGGACATAAGAGCTTTTGGATTATGTTGAAAACACCCTCCTGCACACTTCATTTGAATCCATTTTCATTTAGTCTATTTGATTTTGATGCCAGCCATATTTCGTTATGTACTAGATTTCAAGGTTATGGAAGACAATTTTTTTATTATTATTATTTTTCTATCTTATTAAATATAGCAGTGTTTAATGTAGATCGTTTATATACAATTAAAACTAACTTATTTACAATTTAACTTCTGTCAGTACTGTTCAGTTCCAGTCCAGCAATTTCTGATTTCTGATTTACAACAGTTTATTTTATTTAAATCTTTGTTTTATTTTGCAGAATGTAGTTTCTAATGTATATTTATACAGTTTAATATTGTATATATGTAAAATTCAAATCCATCCTATACTTTATCTTGTTCTAGAAGCTGCTTCATTTATCATAATAGGGACACACAGCTTTTCATGCTGAACTTATAGGGAAAGTTCACCCAAAATTAAAAATCTGCTGTTAATTCACTCCCCTTTAAAGATGTAAGTTCTTGTTTTTCTCTAGTAGGACATTAAATTAGTGATCATGGATATTTGTTTACATTGAGCACTCAAGAGTCCAATAAATAAATAAAACAAAATGAAAACCTGTGGCCTCTGAGGATTGAGGTCTTTCTGCAAGAAACTAAGCATTATTATCTAATCCACAGCCTAAGCAGTCAGCAAACCGCATTGTAGAGTAGGGCTCACAATTTTGGAAAAAAAAAAAAGACTAATTTATCATCTACATTTTTTAATATTGAGGATAATTTTACCAGAGGAAATAAATCGATCATTTAAGGTTGATTTTGATGACTTTCTAGGGGAGTTCATCTGCATAAAAATATGATAAAATAATCACAAGCATTGATAATACAGTAGAGCAAAGTTACAAATGAAACAAATGCTTTATGGTTTTCCTGGAGTTTAGCAGTATTCAGCTACACAAATTGATCGGTTTAATGTAAAACAACACTGTATCATCTTTATAGTGTACATGTACATAAATATAGTTCATCTTTCTTAAAGTTACAAATGTTGTAATTGAGTAAACCTTAATGCTTTGAACTGGCTTGAAATGCTTTCACAGTCACAGGCCTTAAAACACTTAAACTTTAGGAACTTTATAGTTAACCTTTACAATGATTCACAAATCAGCTGTGCTTTCAACTGAGGCTCTTAGCCAGCTATAATCCTAATTCCACATTGCAGATCCTGCAATGTGTAAATTGCAAATGGTCACATTGCATTTCAAAGCTAAAATTATTTCTTGTATTAACCTTATTCTTCACATAAGAGTGGGCTAAGCCAGTTTAATCTCGGCACAAAATTTCTGGTCTCATTTACTTCCATTCCTTTTTCAGACATTAAAAATGGCTTTGTTACACTGCTTTATATTGCAAACTGATATTTTCAGATTTTATTATTCTGCTTTGTCTGTATAGTCATAGACACACTTGTTTGTAGAGCATGTAGTTTGACCATTTTCGGCCGTTTATAATTCCTAGTAATTTTTCCAATAAGAAACTGAATTGGAAGATCGAAATTTCTTTAGACTGCTTTAGACTGAGTAAATCATCAATATTTAATTTATTTGATGAACCATCCCCTTCAAATCGATAACATGTTTTAGTTGACACTGTTAAAAAAAATCTGTAAAATCTACATGAAAAAAGACAGCTGTGGTTGTATGTATTTTACCGTTAAAATACGGCACAAAACTGTAAAATAAATGCTTTTTTTTTTTACAGTAAATAGTCGTATTTCTTTGATGTATAATGTTTATACCATAGACTGTAAAAGATATGGACGTGTCATCACACCAACAAGGAGATGCCAAACAAGGGCAAAGAGGCGGAGCGCGAGCAGAACTACAGACGGCTGCTAGCATTTTTCTTAGACGGGCTTTCCTATGGGAGAAACGCTAATACTTCATTACCTGCGACCTGTTTGTGTTCTGACCACATGTGCTTGGTTGCACTATATCAGTGTTTAGACTTTTAAAAACACTATTTTAATACATTGAGCCACTAAACATTGTTATATTGACGTTTTGTCTACAGGAGGAAACACCAAATTACTTCCAAACACATAAAATATTCACCTTATTCTCAGCTGACGAGTGGGCGCTGCCATTCGAATCTTTTTGTCTCGCGACTTCCGGTCACATTCACTTCCATTCATTTTTTGACGTTAACAACTGCTCGTTACGCTGCTTGATGTTGCAATTTAATATTTTCCTATTATATTATGCTACTTGGTCTGTGTAGTCATGCAAACATTTGTTTGTTGAGCAAGTAGTTTGGCCATTTTCTGCCGTTTATTATTCCTAGTCATTTCTCCCATAGGCGACTGAATCGGAAGTTCTAAGACAATCGCGAAAACAGCCACACTTCCGTATTTTAGAATAAGGTCAATAGTCTGTGTTAGTAAATGCAAGGCTATTGATGAAATCCAGGCATAACACTGTATGACAAAGCTTCAAATGACTGTTTTATGGCCTACAGCTAATCAATCTGTCAGATTCTGGAGGGCATTACGGGTCTAAAGAACATTATAAATGACGAATGATCTTAAATAAACTAACAATACATTTATAGAAATGGTGGATTAAGTATATAATTTCATTTATCTGGAAAACGGAGGCCACGTGAATGGTTTGTGAGTACAATAAAGTGTACACAGCATCCCATATCATCTGATAATTGTAAGAAATAATTCCTGAAAGCAATTGTCTGTGTAAAGCCACATAAAACAAAAGTATGATATATATATGCCGAGTTCAGTGGCGAATCAGCTGAGGTGACGTGACAGCAACCAGCGAGACCTAGCTGTCACTCAGGTGGCCACGCCTTTAATTATGCAGACTTGAAATAACCTAATATAAAGGAAACAGATGAGATATAAAAAAATTTACCCCCCTCACAGTTGTCATGAAGGGTAATATTAGCTATATGAACCAAAATCGTTCTTTGTACCTGACTACAAACACCTTTTTCTTTGCTGTAAAGTTGGTCATTTTAACAGTGGGGTCAGTAGAAATTTGCTCTAAATGGAGCCAGGAATAGCGGTATTTTGATGAATTGCAGTTTCATTTACTTCCCTATTTGCTTTACGAGGGAGAGCGGGAGGTTACCGCTTAGTTTATACACCAATCTTTTGAAGTTCTAACATCTACAAATTAAACCCTTTGTTTCACAGATTGTAATAATATATATATATATATATATATATATATATATATATATATATATATATATATATATATATATATATATATATATATATATGAGATATGATATAATATATTTATATGAGATATGATATAATATATTTATATATATGAACCAATGCTCATATCAAACAATGTTTCCCATAAGCAAAGAAACATACTAATATACTGAAAGCACTCTGTGACATTCCCACAACTATGAAACACCCTCATGGTAACACTAAAAATGTAAGCAATTTAATAAACATTTATTGATATGTAGATGTAACACAGAACTCTAATCTACATAACTGATGGGAATAAACCTAAAAAAACAAAAACAAAAGAACCATAGTAATGTCAACAAAAAGCATTAAAAGTGAAGTATCACACAGGGAATTCTGGGAACTTATTAACGGTTTATGGTTGTTCACCATACATACTGTTGACAAGATTACAGATTTTTTACTTGAGTATTTTTACTATTAAAATCACAGACATTTGCACAGTTCACTGTCAAACATTCTGACATGCTTTCAGATGAAATGTCTCAGTTGTGTTTTTAGTTTTCCTCTGTAGTTCAGTTTTGATCAGTTGAATGCGGTTTTGTTCCTCCCTCTGCAGGCAGTGTGTCAGTGCTGCCCACAGTGCTGTATCTGCTGCTCGGGGTTTTGAAAGAGGCAGTGAAAGGCTCTGTTGGAACTGAGAGTGGACAGCTGGTGTCAGGCATCCTGCAGGCCCTGCGCACTCTTCTCACTTCTCCCATGAGCAGAGCTGAGAAGAGTCGTGGGGCCTGGACTCAACTACTGCAATGCGCACTTCACACACTCCTGGAGTCCTGGAGTACAGGTAATTCTCTGTCAGATCACTCAGTCGCTACACGGTTTTCAGCATATGAAATCACTCACAGAGCTTGTCTTGAGCAGATAAAGTGGAGCCTGGAGTAGATGAGGTCACCATGTTGACATCGCTCACCATCTTCCTGCTGTACGCCAGCGCTGAGGTCACCTCTGTAGAGCCACTGCAAACCCGCTGCATCCAGACATTCAGAGCAAGTCTGGACTCCAAAGACCCCGTGGTAAGTGAGGGGGCAATTATAAAAGCTTTTTTATGAAATTAAATATTTTTTATACTAAAAGGTCAGATTAAATTCATTAAACTATAAATGTTACGATGGTATTTTTTATAAAGGATCTTTGTTTCACATAAATGCTACTTTGAGAGAAAAAATGTATTAAGCTCCTCAATTGTAAGTCATTTTGGATGAAAGCATCTACTAAATTATGAAATGTAAATTAAGCAGCAAAGCATTTTTAACATTTGTGCTCATGAAACATTTCTTGCTATTACCTATTGGAATGATTTCTGAAACAATCATGTCAAACTTTAGTAATAGCTGCCAAAAATTCAGCTTTATGCTGTCTTAACACCAGACGCGGAACGCGCGGATAAATTGCGCTATTCGCGCGTAAATAGCCGCGTGAACATTTGAGTTTACTCGCTTCATTCGCGTGTCAAACCCCGCTTCATTCGCATGTCAAACCCCGCTTCATTCGCATGTGAAATCCGCTTCATTCGCGTGTCAAATTCACTTCAGAACAGACACGGATTCTCGTGATGGGCAGGGCTTCTGTCTGCCCGGTGACTGTAGCTTCGTTGCTAAAAGGCTATCATGGATTTTATGAAGAAAATAACAGTGTTTATGTACTTTATGTAGGCTGAAAAACAGCGTCGATACGTTTAGGACCGTGTCTGAGTCCACTACATGCTTTCAGAGGTGCATCCAGTTGTGTGAGCTCCTAAACTCCTCCAGAAACTGAACCTGGATGACGGAGGCTTTCAGTTGTGCTTCTGGCTGAGCCAAGCCCAGTTTGATGACTTGTTGTCGGTGTCGGCTGAAAGATTTCCCCCGGGACACCATCAACAGGTTCTACGTCACAATCGGTCCCCCTACAAGAGCAAGCTTCTGATTGGTGAACACGGCGCGCAAAACTCTCAATTTGCACCACGCCATTTGCGTCATTCGTGCCTTGCTTATCGCGCCGCAGGATGTCTATTCGCGCGTTTGCATTGACTTAACATGTTAATCACACGCGCTTGACGTGCGTTCTGCGTCTGGTGTGAACGCAGCATTACAATTGCATAATTACATTTAAATTACTTTATTCAAACATTTTATTATATTCAGCAGATTTAAAAATAGACAATTAAAATTGTATATATATATTTTATATTATATTATATTATGTCATATTTTTATTTCATTTTAGAAAAACGTAAATGTCGAGGCTTTGTTTTAAAACATTTAAAAAGATCTTACCAAGCCCCATATTTTGAAACGGTGGTTTAATTTGCTCCTACAAATTCTGCATGATATATATTTTTTAATGTTTTTTTTTTTTTATTATTCCTCTATTAGGTGCTGAGCAGGAGTTACCAGTTGCTATTATCTTTATTTCAAGGCCCAGCGCCAGTAGCAAGGCCATTTATTCTGGCTCTAGGTGGTCGTCTGGTGTCTCAACTGGAGGAAGCTGAAAAGAGTCGTCCTCAAGGCCCAGCAGAGCTACAGGCCGTACAAGATGCAATCCGGGCCCTGGAAGCACTAGTGTTTGCTGCGGATGAAACTCACCGTAAGTCACTGCCAGTGTTCACAGTCTACAGTTAAGATAACAATATTAAGAATTGATTGGCTCTAAATAACTTTAAATCTTAAAGGGATATTGTTTCAAAATGTAATCACCATTTATGCACCCTTAAGTGCATTTAAAACTTTGAGTTTGTTTTTTGTTGAACACAAAAGAAGATATTTTGAACAATGCTGGTAATTGGTAATCATTGACATCTATAGATGGCTACTGTCATTTAACAGAAGAAACAAGCTTAATTTTAAGTACATGCTAAAACGGACAATCCTTTTTTTTATTTTATTTTATTTTTTTTTTTTTGTCTGGAGCCAGCATTTAAGCTTCTCACCTTTGTCATGATGTGACAATATAAGGGATTTGATTTGATTTAGGATACGAAGATAATCAAATGAGTATTTGTTTGATTCCATGCAGGTCCTCAGCTGGTGGCTGTGCTGCTGCCTATCCTCATCTCCCTCCTCTTAGATGAGAATGCTTTGGCATCGGCTCCGGCGGCTTCTCGCTTGCTGCACGAATCTGCCTTGAGAGACCTCATGCGCATCGGCCCCCAGCACTCGGCTGTCTTAAAAGCGCTGATGGCCTCCGCTCCGCACATGAAAGCCAGACTGGAAGCAGCAGTCAAGGGGAACCAGGAGAGCGTGAACTCTAAAGCACAAGCACCTCCAGCCATCAGCAAAAACACACCCAGCATTCAACTGAAGATCAATTTCCTCTGAATCCAGTATTACGATAGAAATGACTGAGTGAATGTTTTAATCAGTGGTGTTTTAACGATAAATCACTTTAAAACTTGTGTCATTTAATAATTGTAGTCCGTTTCAGAAGTGCATTAACCTCTATGAGGATATTAATACTTATTTACTTACAGAACGCAAGGAAAGGGGTTTTACAGGAATCGACTCAATCCTGGAAGTGAATGGCTTTCATTTATCTATTTTAGTCATCATGCAGTTTTGTGATGGGTTTTATTATTATCTGTTTAAAGAATGCAAATCATTAATTTCTCATCAACATGCTGCATTTCACAACTCAGCCTGGTGCAAAATCAGCTGCTCTGCTGGTCGTCAGTTACTTACTGAATTTTCATATACAGTTCACCACGTCGTCTAGTAGTTTTAATTGCTTAAAGATAGATACATGGGTTGTGAATGTATTTATAAGAAAGCATTACAAACAAATGCTTTAATTGTATAACTTCACTGATATGTCTAATATAGCTGCACTGTGGATGGAAGTGATTTCTACTGCATATAAACCTGTATGTATTAATCTAAATTGAAGCAAAAAGTCACATTTTATGATATAAAAGCTCAAAATGACATCACTGTTTGTTAATAATAACATTAAAATTGAAGAAGGTGGTCATGAAGTCAATTTTACATCAAGAATTGTTACTTTTCATGTCTATTTAAACTAATTTGGTATGTTTTTTATCATAATGTTAGTTTTTATCTTAAAACTGATTGTACTTTTTTTCTCATCACAACTGTTAATTTTAATCTCAATTAAGATTTCACACCTCATGATTATTTTATTATGTGGCTGAAATGGGTTTTCATGCATTCGAAATAGTAGTTTGATTTTGTGTATTGAGATTATGCATGCAAATCTGTGTTGGTGTCATTTATTACAGTTAATCTATTTTCACTTCTGACATGCAGTTTAAGCATTAGACTGATCATAAGTGAGCAAAAACATTAAACAAGCAGCAGAATATTTAATACACTAACATACTACAAACAAGTTTACAATGCAAGAAAACACAAAACACATTCTTCCACAAATATTCTGTAGACTTAAGGTGCTGCTTTCTTCTAGAAGCTGTGATGATCAATACAATTATGCATTTGTAACCTTACATTTTGTATAATGTAAATTGTACAGATTATATAATAATGCAAAAATAACATTTATTTTCTGGTTATATTACAAGAATAAAATCTAGATTTGCTTCAAGAGTCTCTGTTTTTACTCTACAGTGAAACCTAGGAGGGACATTCCTCAGTGTATAGTATGTCTTCATTTTAAAATGTCTTAAAATCTCTTAAATATGTCTCTTTTGTTATTATTCATCGATAAAACGGATAATGCATTCAAGTAGTTTTGGGATTTACGTTAACCAAATATAGCTTGCTTCGTATATTAGACAGCGAGCGTCTTTGTTCACTTTGTACAATTTCGCAATATAGGTGAATGAATGTCTGATCTGTTTTTTTGTCGACCTCGATGAAGGCGAGGTGTTTTAGCACCCCCTGTCGCTGAGCCGCATCGCTGCGTGTTTCTGACCGCTGCTGCTGCTGCTGCCGCGGAGCCTCGTGATATGCGGAGCCTCGACTAGTTCTCTCGTCTGCTCTCCATTTCACTCGATATTTCACCCGTCGCCTTCCCGTTCACTTTGACCTCTACCTTACGACCAACAGAAGCGGGGAATGAAGCAATATTCACATCTCTCCGACTGATACAACTTCATTCCGAGACGAATTCTGTCCACCCTGTGTGTGTTTTCTCGTCGTTCGGCGATAAACGGTGAGTGTTTGTGTGTGTCGGCAGAGGGTTTGTGTCTCTGCTTCAGAGGCGCGTTGAGGCCTCGGGCTTTCACTCAAATTTAGCTCGCGGATTTAGTGGTAAACAGGAGGCCGCTGATGTGTGTCTTTGTTTTATGGGTTTTCAACGTTAAAATGTTTTCAGATCTATTTTATGTATGGATGGAAAACATATTCCTTCGTTATTCAAATAAAGTAAACGAAGTTTGGGATTAATTAGGTCTCCCGAAGTGAAGCTAACAGGACGCATTTTAGCTAACGTAATCCCAGCTAGCCAAGTGTCGCTTTCACAGCCGTTTATTAGTGGTTTTACTCTTTTAGTGGGAAAAACATATAGTCAAATACAATTGTTAACGAGAAATTAAACGTTTGTAGAGTCTGTCATGGCGTTTAAGCTAACATAAGCTGTTTGAGCTCCAGAAAGAGGCCATCAGGACCAGATTGGACGTGAATATATTATTATTTCTTTGCTTAACTTGTTTCTGTAACGAACAGTCACGGTTATTTCGTGTGATATCGTTATGCTGTTTATTATGAGCCGTGTTCAGGTTTAATTTGACTTTGTTCACCTGCTCTGATCTCAGAATCGTGTTAGATGGCAATACATGAAGTTAAACAAACGACGTTATTTTGTAGATCAAACATATTGTTGGTGACCTGTTAGCGCTCATAGACACCGTATGTGTCCTCCTGAAAGGTGAGTTTTACTGTGTTGTTGTATAGGCTGTTGACATGATGACATCGCCTGCAATCAAGTTGTTTTTTGACTCCTTAGTCAGCTGCACTGGCAGAAAGTCAAAGAACATCATTTGAATCATGTTTGTCCATGAAACATCAAATGTCCTGAGTGTAAGAGCCACGGATAAAGCTGAACGTTTGCTGTGAAGTTCAATTGATCTCCATGCTCTAAGAACAACAACTGACTAAATATACTTTAGTAGTTACATTTAATTAGTTTAATCTATTTTACTATTAGACATTTTGATTAGTCTAATCTTTATTTAATAACTTTAAAGGTAAGCACGTGTGTGAATGTGTTGCTCACGCTAAATAAATAAACGAAGAGCTAAATAAATAGTTTTACCAAGACGATCAAAGCTT